CTCTATTGAAAATGAACAATATGCCATTAACTGATATTAAGGTAACATTTCTAAACGTCCATCTGTTTGTCCGTCTGTCTGTCCGTCTGTCCGTCTATATATCCGTCTGTCTGTCCGTCTGTATATCCGTCTGTCTGTCCGTCTGTCTGGCCGACTGTCTGGCCGTCTGCCTGTCTATCCGTCTGTCAGGAAACACAACTAGCGCCTAAACCATGCCCAGGATTCTTTTCAAATTGAATAAACCCCTGTCTATCTGGTTCGAGTCGAAGCTTTGGGTTTTGAAAAACATTCTTCAAAATTTTGAGGTACTTTTCATTCAAATCCCCGGACATTTTGATAATTAGTTTCCATTTTTTTTCGTTAAATTTCTTGTAAAAGGAGACTAAAATACACTTATAAAGATGGCATATGTCCGATTTTCACGGTTAACTTTAAATTTTGAAAAATTTTAAAAGTTGAATTTTTGTTGGCGTCTCCCTTAAAAAAATCTGACCAGTTAGTTCTTTCATTAAGATCGGGTATATTTTTTGAATCTTGTAGTTTTCGCGCAATATTGCGTGCAATATGTGTAATTTAAAAAATTAAAAAATTAAAAAAAAATTCTCAAAAACAACTTCAAATATTTTCTTTTAACTTTTGATATGGATGGTGCTTCTCTGTGGAGAGATCTTCTCTATGAGATAACAGAAACATCAGTTTGCCCTATTCTTTTTTTTCCAAAATCTATAAAAAGTCTTTTTTTACATTTCTCTCACGTCGCTAATATTTACATCCGCGGCGATTTGTTCACATTATTATATTTACGAGTACATTTACTCTAAATATTGTCATATTGTCAAGTTTCTCGAAAACACAACCTTTTTCTGCAAAAACGAGCTAAAAAATATGCATTTTCAGATACGCTCAAACTTTATTTTCTCAAAAACAGCTTCAATTTTTTTCTTCAATTTTTTCCGAATAGGGCTCATTGCATTCTTTAATATGACAAAGTTCATTTTGAAGTATTTTTTGTACACAAATATATTTTTTGAAAGATCTCTCACGACGTTAATATTCACATTTCTTGCCATTTGTAAATATGATTGTATTCGTAAGTTGAAGTGCTTTAAATGACTTTTGATGAAGTTTTTCGAAAACACAAAACTTTTCGGTGAAAAAGGGCTTCAAATTTCGAATTTACTCGCTTAAGCGCCTTTTTATTATAAACGGTTACAAAATGTTCAATAAAATTGCAATTTAGGAGGGGTTTTTACTACTCTCTAATATTCTTAAAATAATATTTATACTCTAAGAAACCCTAAAAATTAAGTTTTTTTTTAAATTACAAAGAACCCTTAAAGTTTAGAAGCATTCAAAAAATGCACTATGGGCAGCGATTTGTATATGACAGTTGGCAAGAGTTTGTGGCAAGTCCGAGACCAACGAAAATAGAAAACAAAAACGGGAAATTTTGTGCCACTCTAAAGCATCACTAGTTACTATCTCGAAAACGTGGTATAGAGACAATATTGTAATGCTGCGCGAAAAACCAGCAGATTTTTGGCAGAAAAAAATCATTGCCAAGCCCTAATAACAAAAAAGTAAATAAATCCAGTTGTTAAATTTTAAAAAAATCCTCTAACATGTGGTGTAGCCACTGTTTCCCTGTTTTGTAGGTTCTTGATATCGAAAAATCACTTGATGGCAATACGTCCGTCCTTATGTGAACACCACCAGCGCCTAAACCATGGGTAGGATTTTTTCCACATTGAAGTAACTCCTGTCCTAGCTCGAGTCGAATTTTGAAAAACATTCTTTGAAATTTTGGGTACTTTATATATAGTCCCAGGGACATTTTCAAACTTTTCTAAAATACGGCTCCAATTTTTTTTTAAATTTCTTTCAGGAATAGAGTAAAACAAACACATAAAGGTGTCGCAGGTCAGATTTTCACGGTTAATTCTAAATTTTCGAAGAAAAAAAAAGGTTGAATTTTTTCGGTGTCTTCCTACAATTACAAAATTGAAGATAAAGATGTTTCCTTCAAATGAAATTTGTTCTCCATATTCAATTCTTTCACTAAGGTCACGTACATTTTTTTGAAATTTTTAGTAGTTTTCGCGTAATATTGCGTGCAATATGTGCAATATTAAAAAATTACAAAAACAATATTTTCTCAAAAACGGCTCCAATTTTTTTTCTTTTAACTTTTGGTAGAGTTTGCGCTAAATGCACTCTATAAGATGACATAAACGCCATATTGCTATTTTTTTTTGTTTTTGCAAATATTACAAAAATGTAATTTCTTTGACTAGCCGCTCACGTCATTAATATTTATATTACCGGCGATTTCTTTATACTATTGCGTACATCTTCGAGTACCTGTACTTTAAACGATGCCTTGTAAATTTTCTCGAAAATTAAAAACGTTTCTGTGGAAACGAGCTCAAAAATCCGCATCTTCAGAAACTCTAACACCATTTTCTCAAAAAGTTCCAAATTTTTCGCACAAATGGTGCTAATTGCACTGTTCAAGATACCATAAAATTATTTTTGCTGTATTCTTTTTTTTTTTTTTTTTT